ACACACACACACACACACACACGCAGCGCCACACAAACAGACTTTCTCACACACAGAGTCTCTCTCTCTCACACACAGTCACACACACACACAGTCATACAGACTGTCACACTCACACACACACACTGTCACACACAGTCTCTGTCTGTCCCCCCCCGTCTCTCTCTTGCTCTCTCTCACACACACACTGTCACAGTCTGTGTCCCCACCCACACAGTCTCTCTCACACACTCACACACATTCAGTCTGACACACACACAGAGTATCTGTCACACACGTCTCGCACACGTAGTCTGAGACACACACGGTCTCTCACACAGTCTCACACATGCTCCCACAGAGTCACTCGCAGTCACAAACACACAGTCACACAGTCTCACACACTCACAGAGTCTCTCTCTCTCTCTCTCTCTCTCTCACACACACACACACACACACACACACACACAGTCGCTGGCTTGCAGTCACACACAGTCTCTCACACACACACACACACACACACACACAGTCGCTCTCAGTCTCACACACAGTCTCTCTCTCTCACACACACACACACACACACACACACAGTCGCTGGCTTGCAGTCACACACAGTCTCACACACAGTCGCTCTCTCAGTCTCACACACAGTCACTAGCTCGCAGTCTCACACACAGTCTCTGTCTCACAGTTTTATGCACACACACGTCTTTCTCACACAGTCTCTCAGACACACACATGCTCAGTTTCACGCGCGCGCTCTCTCTCTCTCTCTCTCTCTCTCTCTCTCTCTCTCTCTCTCTCTCTCTCTCTCTCTCCACAGAGTCGCTGGCTTGCAGTCACACACAGTCTCACACACACAGTCGCTCTCTCAGTCTCACACACAGTCACTAGCTCGCAGTCTCACACACACAGTCTCTGTCTCACAGTTTTATGCACACACACGTCTTTCTCACACAGTCTCTCAGACACACACATGCTCAGTTTCACGCGCGCGCTCTCTCTCTCTCTCTCTCTCTCTCTCTCTCTCTCTCTCTCTCTCTCTCTCTCTCTCTCTCTCTCTCTCTCTCTCTCTCTCTCTCTCTCTCTCTCTCTCTCTCTCTCTCTCTCTCTCTCTCTCTCTCTCTCTCTCTCTCTCTCTCTCTCTCTCTCTCTCTCTCTCTCTCTCTCTCTCTCTCTCTCTCTCTCTCTCTCTCTCTCTCTCTCTCTCTCTCTCTCTCTCTCTCTCTCTCTCTCTCTCTCTCTCTCTCTCTCTCTCTCTCTCTCTCTCTCTCTCTCTCTCTCTCTCTCTCTCTCTCTCTCTCTCTCTCTCTCTCTCTCTCTCTCTCTCTCTCTCTCTCTCTCTCTCTCTCTCTCTCTCTCTCTCTCTCTCTCTCTCTCTCTCTCTCTCTCTCTCTCTCTCTCTCTCTCTCTCTCTCTCTCTCTCTCTCTCTCTCTCTCTCTCTCTCTCTCTCTCTCTCTCTCTCTCTCTCTCTCTCTCTCTCTCTCTCTCTCTCTCTCTCTCTCTCTCTCTCTCTCTCTCTCTCTCTCTCTCTCTCTCTCTCTCTCTCTCTCTCTCTCTCTCTCTCTCTCTCTCTCTCTCTCTCTCTCTCTCTCTCTCTCTCTCTCTCTCTCTCTCTCTCTCTCTCTCTCTCTCTCTCTCTCTCTCTCTCTCTCTCTCTCTCTCTCTCTCTCTCTCTCTCTCTCTCTCTCTCTCTCTCTCTCTCTCTCTCTCTCTCTCTCTCTCTCTCTCTCTCTCTCTCTCTCTCTCTCTCTCTCTCTCTCTCTCTCTCTCTCTCTCTCTCTCTCTCTCTCTCTCTCTCTCTCTCTCTCTCTCTCTCTCTCTCTCTCTCTCTCTCTCTCTCTCTCTCTCTCTCTCTCTCTCTCTCTCTCTCTCTCTC